CAATCGGCTGCCTCCTGCATGCCCCTTACTGGGGATCGAGCCCATAATCCAGGCATGTACCCTGACCGGGAATTGAACCATGACCTCCTGGTTCATAGGTCGACCCTCAACCACTGAGCCATGCTAGCAGGACGCAAGCAGAGCTCTTAAAGGGCCCATGAACCGGACTTAAGACTCCCTCCCTCTGAGCTCCAGCATTGAGGCAGCAGCTTGAAAGGAACCTGGGACATTCGGGGAGGAACTAACTTGTCTGGAGTGAGGACAAGAGCTGGAGGAGAAGCTTTCTCCCAAACAGGAGTGCTGGTGGAGAGGCCAGTGTTCCTTTGCTGAACCCTCCCTGTGACAGAGTTGACAGGCTGAACCATATCTGAATCTCCATCACCCTGGCTCACACTTTTTTCCCTGCCCTAGTGATTCCCTGAGATCCCATCCCTCCCTACTTGCAGGCCTATCCAAGCCGTTTCCAGTGGCTTTTTCATACAACTGGCCTCTCTTGCCTCATGCTTCAGACATTCCTAAAATCTCTCAAACAAGCAGCACCTGGCCTCAGCATGCTCCATACAGCTCACTAAGTGGCCCCAGATCCAGCATTAGTGGCAGCTGGTGTTGGTTCAGAGCTTGGCTTCTCCTGGACACCTCCAAGCCCAGCACAAGTAGCAGCCATCTGAAGATAGCTTTGTAGCTCAAAACACAGGTGGCAGTTGACCTCAGACTGCACCTCCTTGGGAGCCTGAGCCAGTACACCCAGTGGACAGGTTTAGACCACAATGAAGCACCATGCAATCTCTTCCACAAGGGACACACTCAAGGGGAGGACTCAATAGGCACAACAGTCCCACTGACATGAGTCCTGCTCCTAGCACAGCTGATGATTCTCCATGGTAGCCAAAGCCAGTCCTTATAGCCAACTGGCCTACAGATAAATCCCTCCCATTCATATGCCAAAAGCAATCAAGGCTCAACTACAACATGAGGGTATACACAGGGGGGAAGGGAAGTACCTGGAATGCCCACCTTGGGTGAATGGAAAGGCTGTGCCACTGGACCCTACAGGACACCTACTACACTAGGCCACTCTACCAAGCCTGGGAGATATAGCATCTCTACCTATACTAAATAGAAACAAAGAAAGGCTGCCAAAATGAGGAGATAAAGAAACATGTTTTCTGAAGAACAAAACTCCAGAGAAAGAACTAAACAAAATAGAGACAAGCAATCCACCAGATGCAGAGTTTAAAACACTGGCTATAAGGATGCTGAAGGAATTTAGAATAAAATAGGACATGGAAACTATAAAAAAAAAACACTCAGAAATAAAGGATGCACTAACTGAAATTAAGAATAATTTATAGGGAATTAATTGTAGAGTAGATGAACCCAGGGATGAAATGATTGATTTGAAATATAAGGAAGCAAAAAGCACCCAATCAGAAAAGCAAAAAGAATCCAAAAAATGAGGATAGTTTAAGGAGCCTCTGGGATAACTTCAAGTATACCAACATTCGCGTCATAGGGGCACTGGAAGGAGAGAGAACAAGAAATTGAAAACGTATTTGAAAAAATGACAGAAAACTTCCCTAACCTGATAAAGGAAATAGACATACAAGTAAGTCCAGGACGTGCAAAGTCTAAAACAAGATGAATCCAAAGAGGCCCTCACCAAGATCCATTCAATTAAAATGCAAAAACTTAAAGACAAAAAGGATCATAAAAGCAGCAAGACAAAAGCAGCTGGTTACCTATAAGGGAGCTCCCAGAAGACTGTCAGCTGATTGCTCAAAAGAAACTTTGCAGGCTAGAAGAGACTGGCAAGAAATATTCAATGTGATGAAAAGCAAGGACCTACAACCAAGATTACCCAGCAGAACTATCATTTATAATCAAGGACAGATAAAGAGCTTTCTAAACAAGAAAAAGCTAGAGTTCATCACCATCAAATCAGTATTATATGAAATGTTAGAGCATCTTTTTGAAGGACTAGGAGAAGAAGAAGAAAAAGAATAGATTAAAAATATTAACAATAAAATGGCAATAAATACATGTCTATCAATAATTGAATCTAAAAAAAACAAGTAGAACAAAAACAGACACATAGATACAGAGAACATTTAACCTTTGCCAGATGAAAGGGGGTTTGGGAAATGGGTGGAAAAGGTTAAGGGATTAAGAACTACAAATTGGTAGTTACAGAATAGTTGTGGGGTTGTAAAGTATAGCATAGGAAATATAATCAATAATATATTAATAACTATGTATGCTGTCAGATGGTATGAAACTTAATGGGATGAACACGTAGTAAGTTGTATAATGTCTAATCACTGGAATGTACACCTGAAACTAATATATTATTGTATGTCAACTGTCATGCAAAAAAACTAGTAAAAAATGGTTTTTTTACAAAAAAAGTAATCTTTATATGCACAGCACTGCCATGACAAGAATTTAAAATTCCTGATAATGTAAACACTGATTTCAATCAAAATTATGATTTTGGTGAGAGTGAAATTGGGGCATAGGAGATATGTGTGTGTGTTTGCATGTGCATATGTGTTGGATTCGGAATAAAAAAGTACTAAATTATAGAACCAAGATGGCGGCATAGGTTAACGCTGGAGTTTGCTGCCTCAAACAACCACTTCAAAAGTGAAACTAAAAGACGGAACGGACATCACCCAGAACCACAGGAATGCTGGCTGAGTGGAAGTCCTACAACTAGGAGGAAAGAGAAACGCATACCGACACTCAGAGGAGGCGCAGTGCTGAAGTCAAATACTGAGGTGCGGAGTGCATGCAGAGCGGGCTGGTGGCTGAGGGCGCGGCTGACGTTTTCAATTGGGAGGGAGTTGCAGACTCTGAGCTCCAGATCCGGGCGAGTCTTTAGGGACCCAGACTCAAACGGGAGAAGCAGGACTCTCTGGCTTCGGTCGGAGCCAGTGCAGCTTTATCTCCGAGGTGTGCAGCGGTTGCTGGGACTCAGAGAGGCAGAGCCCCTGGGGACAGGACTGAGAGCCACCATAACTGCTCTCTCCGGCCCACCCTGTTGATCCTGTGCGACCCGCCCCGCCCCAGCCCTGCACAGAGGCATTTGCCGGC